CTAAACGCGATAAGCCTGTGGAGCGTTGGCCTGTCAAGCTTGAGCTCTTCTGGGCACTTGAGCGTAGTTTTCTGAAGGCCGAGACACGACATCGAAAGAGTCCTTACAGAGGCCATCAGAGGGATTCTCCCGGTTTGGAAAACCACACCAAAGAAGGTACGCTTCAAAGAATCAGGCCTACCAACGGTACAAACCATACTCAGCAAGATCCGGATGCGGTTCAGCCTGAGAATCAGAGCTATGGATAATATGCATCCGTTAGTCCGATGTGTTACAGCCCGGAACCCTACCGTGAGCAGAGGCCTGAGGGGTCTGGTCAGGAGAACCGCAAGGACACGGCTCCAGAGGACGTATGCACTCACACCGGACTTCCCAAGACCGATCCTAACGGAACCATAATATACAAAAAACGCTAGCAAAGCTATTATAACAAGAAGCAAAGCCGAGGAAGCCAAAGTCTTCACAGACTGGCTGAAATCGCTACCACCCTCACACGTAGTTGCCTATTCTGATGGCTCGAAATCCCTGGAGGGGGCGGTCGGCTATGGATACGTGATCTACAGAGGCCGGAAAAATATAGCCTCGGGCTGTGGCAGAAAGAATCATGGGCCGGGAGTCCTGTTAAAATTCAAAGCTTCGCGTTCTTCCCATCTATCCATCATTCGCGTCTAGCAACTTCGCCATCTTTTCTACTACTAGCTCTGTATATATCGATAGCCAGGAAGCTTATACCCCGATCCTAGAAGGCGACCAGCTGTAAAGCTCTAGTCGTCACCTATCCTTCTGTTTCTTCGCCGGGGGGTCCGAGCCGTCGTCGTATGCAGAGGTAGGTAGCAGATTGAGAGCGTTATCGTTCGACAAGGACATTTTTGGAAGCGTGAGGTCCGCGTAGCGTGGTGAAAATGGACATGAGATGCGCCGATAGTACGTGAAACCTAGGTATCGTCGTCAAATTCGCTGGTGTTGACCGTCGAAAAGAAGGCGTGTGCCGCACTGCGAGATAGGGCCTTGTCGATGCACCGCTGCGCGGGCGGTGCGCCGGGCCGACAATCGAACTCTCGCTTCTTTAAGATTGTCGGAGGATTTTCGAGGTGTAGTAACGCTGTTTATCGATAAAATGGAGGGAGGGGAGTCGGTATAGTGATGGTACAGCTGAACAGCGTCTTCGAAAATTCTGTCGTAAGTGGGCGCCTGTTAGAGGAACAGGCGGAAGCACTGCAAAAGCCTTAGCATGGTAGTCTGTGCACCCTTGCCAAGGAAATTTTTTGCAGGAGAGAGTTGCAGTGTTTCATTTAATAGGTGTTGTAAACCCAATGAGGTAAGCCCAATGAGGTAAGCCCAATGAGGTAGGCGGTGATCCAATTCCCGCCCGTGGAGCAGGTATAATCCAATTCCCGCTCATGTTGTATTTTCTGGTCGTGGTACCCCGCCGACCCGATTCTGATACCGCCTGCCCGATGTAGCACCGCCTGCCCGATGTAGCACCGCCTGCTTGACGCGACACCGCCTTCCCGATGCGACACCGCCTGCTCGATATGTCACATCTTGTCGGATTAAAGGTAAGCCCATAGGGCACCTTTCTAGGTAGACAACAGAACCTAGTTGTTCCGTCCCGATCTAGCCTTCTCTGGCACAAAACTGCCACGGTCGCACAAGAATATTCCAGAGAGACAGAATACAGAGACACACTTCACTCTGACAATTGGCTTAAATCTAACACTAATCTGCTAATCTGCTATGTTTAATCTTCTGAGATATGCGTGCTATAGCCGTAGGCCTCACATTGATTTTCAACCCTGGAAGATAGCCCGTGGAAGCTGAACTCCGGGATAACCTCCAGCTGTATCTTGCTTTCCTTCTCTTCCTTTCCTCTCTAGTCTTGATATTCTCGTCAATAGAGTAATAGCTGCTTGCTGCCGGCTATGTTGCAGGTCCTCAGTACGCTCGCCGTGCCAAATATTCAACACATGACGTAGCAGAATTACGCCCTGACTGTACGTTTCGCGATTGACCCGGTTACTACGAAGAGACAATAGAAATAAGGGTGAAAAGAAAAGAGTAACAGAGGAAGGCAGATTTAAGGGGGCTCGACATGACCAATCACTCCACAGAGATACGAAAAGAGTATATTAAGAGGAGTGTGACGAGCCGTCTAACCTATAAGGCTAAAGGGTTCTATAGGGTTTATGTTCTGAGGTAAGTCAACACAAAGGACGATAGAGGCTTCTGTCAACTAGAAGACACTCAGATGCTGGGGCTTGGTCTGAACTAGGTTCACTGCGTAGTCGAGTCGTCAGGAGATTTCTCCCACCTTAGTGTTGGCTAAGATGCTTAGATTGATCACTGAGGTAGAGACTGTCTATCTGTGCTAGCTAGGAAATGTCCATCCTTATATATCCAATCTCTCCCTCACTGATGAGGTGGATATCTGGGGTAGCTGGCTATCCCAACGATCCTGGATATCGTGGGTAGCTGGCTATCCCAGCGATCCTGGATATCATGGATAGCTGGCTATCCCAGCTATCCTCTGGTCACGTGACCCGTGGCGCAGTATCATTCTTCCGTGCGTCGTGTCATCGTTCATTTTCTGCCAATGAATCCTGGCCTGCTGCGGGCCTCCTCCCCTGTATGTTCTTGTTGGTTCGTAACAAGGAGGTCAACGTCTATGAATACGTATTAGGTGTACTGTTATACAAGCGGTGTGATATCGGGCAGGCGGTGTCGCATCGGGCAGGCGGTGTCGCATCAGAAAAGCGGTACCGCGTCAGGCAAAGGGTGCTGCATCGGGCAGGCGGTGCTACACCGGGCAGGCGGTATCGGGTAGGCGAGGGGTACCAACCAACTCGGCTGATGGCAAAGGAAATGGGCAGGCGGTGAGTGACATGTCCTATTATGGATGTCTGGAAAGACATCATGACCAGGAAATCGACCATGCGCGAGAATTGGATTATACTCTAGAACTGGATCACGGGCAGGAAGTGAAATCTACTCAATACAGAGACAGTAGTCCTCGGTATATACGGACTTCCTGGTTCCAAAAAGACCTTTCTTCTGAACCAGCTCAAACAAGAAACTGAGAGAAGAAAAATTAAAGCAATATCAGAACTCCGACATTATTGACGCCAGGAAGTCTCGCGGTCTTGCATAGCCGTCTCTCTGTTCTCCCTCAGTGTTTCTTGTGAATTAAATCACGAGGAAGAAGTAGACCATGGCGTAGAAACTGCATCACGGGTAGGAACTAGATCACGGGCAGAGACTGGGCCACGGGCAGGAACTGGGCCACGGGCAGGAAGAAGCAGTAGATGGGTGTCCAGCGTTGTAATCAAATACGGACATGAAATAAGGGTTGCCGGGCTTCACGTAGAATGCCCACGTATGGACATGAAAGATCCAAAGTTGGCGCTGTGGCCATAGAAAACAAAATCGAGATTATATTCAGGACTGGACACCTATCCACTGCCTCTTGCTGTCCGTGGTCCAGGATCCAGTTCCTGCCCATGATCCATTTCCTGACTATAATCCCATTCCTGCTGATATAGTCTTTCAAGACATCCAAAAGAGAAGATATCCCTCACCGCCTGCCGGTTTCCCTTACCGTCAGCTGACTTGGTACCCCTCGCCTACCCGATTCCGATACCGCCTTCCCGATGCGACACCGCTTTCCCGATGCGGCACCGCCTGATCAATAAGTCACCGACTTGTCCAATCTAACGCCATAAATATACTATTCATTAGGGGATTCGTACTTCATATTGTAGCCTTAGAATGAGTCTTTAATAAATGGAATTATTATATAACGAGAGCTAGTAGGACCTTTCTAACGTGTTCCTTATACTATGAGAGGTTCTTCGAGTAGATGAGGAGGGAGGATGTCGTCTAGGTACGCGGATGCAACTTCATCGGAAGAACTATATAGGGTGTCATTTATGTAATGCTGGAAGCTTAAAGGAGCGTTATAGTCCGAAGGGTGTCACCAGGGACTTATAGAGACTAAATCTCATCGTGGATGCCGTTTTCCACTCATGCCCTTTCAACACAAGGATCCTGTTGAATGCCGCCATCACGTCAAGCTTTATGAAGACTCGTAACGCGCAGAGGGCGTCAAGGGTTTCTCTAATTAGCGGCAGAGGGTAGTGGTTCTTGCTTGTCATATTGTTGAAGCCCCTGTAGTCCACACTCGGATGCGACCACTAGGCTTATGTGCTAGCAGGAGTGGTGCAGCTGACCTTGACCGTCATGGTCGGATCGTCATGTTCGGATGAACCTTTTCAGCAAATTGTCGTCCAGGTATTTCTTCATCAGTTCTGATTGTGACATCGGTCGTGTTTCGAGTTTGGTACCGTTTTGCCGGGTTCAATGTCGATTTTGTGGTCATATGTGCGGTGTTAGGGTAGTTTCGTGGCTTCCGAGGGCGGGAAGACGTCGATGATATCGTGGTATTCGGGAGGCAACCTTGCTTTGATATCTTGAACAGTGACAGGCTCTTTATTCCCCAGGTATTTCTCGACGGTATCCCCCGTGACTTTATTTCAGAAGGGCCTGTTGTACAAATCATCAAAGAACTCGTAATACCTGACGTCCACTTGTGCCTTGTGCCCGTCTTTGTGTCCCTCCGCTATCAGTTTCTTAATTTAGCGTTTGTTCGGTGATCGAGACGAATTCGAGGTCAGGTAGGTCTGCGTAGCGTCCGAGATGATAGGGAGTCTGAAACAACGACCCCAAGCATACTATGAGCACCGAACATGCGAATGAAAGCCTGTCAAGCCAGTATCTCGTTAGAAATAAACTTTGAAGACTAGCAATGGGGTGATTAGCTACGGATTTCCTGGCACCAGCCGCCGCGTGCCTCTCGGGAGCCAGGTCTCTCGTGGGAAACAGTCGCTTCTTTGTCCAGCCTAACACCCTTGAGATCTTAGAAGTCGACCGACCTCTGGCCATCACCGTAAAGACCAAGCATAGCCGTGGTAACGATCCAAATCCGCGCCGATACCCCAAATCGCATGCCAGTCACGCGTTTCCCCTGGCGGAACTATGTCAAGGGTAAGGTACAAAAAGCTGGCAGTACCGTCTTGGTGGCTGAGGTGGGGTCTCTGAGCCTGGAGTTCACCAAGTTGTCTCAGCTAACAGGCGATATGCAATATTATGATGCTATACAACGCATATATGACGATTTGGAACAAGGCCAGGGCATGGGTCTCCTTCCTGGAATGTGGCCAGTCGTGGTCGATGCCTCCAAGACCCCTATGGCCTACAAGGGCGACTCGTTCAGTCTCGGCGGCATGAGCGACAGTGTTTACGAGTACCTGGGAACGCAATAGCTGCTTCTTGGGGGTGCCTCAGAGCAGCCAAGGAAAATGTACGAGGGCTTCATTGCCGTTGCCAAGGAGCATCTTCTACGCCGTGCATTGAATCCTGACAACTTGCCTCTGCTTTTCTTTGGGGATGTGCGTGTCGCAAAGCCACCTGCTGAGGGGCCTTCGATCATCACGTCGCCCCGAGCCCAACAGGGCATTTGGGGCCTAAGAATGTGGCTCCAGTGGATTGTGAGGGCGCCAACGAAAATACCCTCGCATGCCCCCCTCCACCCAACTTGGAATTGCGATGGCTTCCGGCATTCAACAGCACTGCTACATCCTTCTTGGGGAGGCTCCTATGCCACGCCATAAAGGCCTTGGCTGCTTCTGGCTTTGAAAGTCAGCGCATGGGGTCTTAAAGCCTGCCGGGTATTTCGGAGTATGTATTAGGGAACCACATTAAGCAGGCGGTGTGATATCGAGCAGGTGGTGTCGCATCGAGCAGGCGGTGTCGCATCGGAAAAGCGGTACCGCGTCAAGCAGGCAGTGCTACATCGGGCAGGCGGTATCAGAATCGTGTAGGCGAGGGGTACCAATTCAGCTGACGGTAAGGGGATGGACAGGCGGTGAGGGAATTAGATCACAAGCGGGATCAAAACGTATTGACACCGTCTACCTCATCCGGCTTACAATAAAACACTGCCTACTCAATCAAGCACCGCCTGCTCTATGTGGCGACCCTACTCCAGGGATTGAAAATCGCCTACCGAAACTAGTATATTTTTCTTGGCGCAAGACCTGATTCCGCTCGTCGCATTTCACAATTTACGATCGGCTTTGATCACCTTTTCCTTATTAGCTTAGATTATTGTTAGATACAAGCGAGTTCAGATCATTTAGGTTGACAAGTGTCTTGTCTTGTTCTTCTTCTGCTCTCTTTCTTCAGCGTGCAGAGACTGATGATCTATCTTCTGGGTGGGTCAGATGCCCTGTGCGTTTCTGCCCCACTGGGGATATTCCGGTGTCTATTTCCGGCTCCCATTTAACAATTTTAGTTTAGTTTAGTTTATTTAACGCCGTAGGGGCTCTAGGCTCCAGATCCTTGTGGACATTTGGCGTGCAGGTGACTATCTCAGGGGCTAACATACAAGCCTTACTGTACGGGAAGCAGGGCATGACTCCCTATTTCCCGTGATAACCTGCAAATCGAACCTCGAGGGCACACATGTTATTCCGTCAGTTTCCGTTGGCCCCGTCATTTGGGCTCGTGCTCTGTGATATCTGGTTCATAGTCGGTCGTCCGAATAGCGTCGAAGAACTCCTCTCGCTTTGACAGTTAATGCCTTGCGTCTAAAAGGCTATAAGCCGGTAGAAAAAGAAAATATAAAGAAAGATAATAAAAGTAGTAGAGATATGTGGTAACAGGCGTAATTACACCTGGTGGTCGATAAATTGATATTTTGTAACCCTGGGACAGACTTTCGTGTAGAATTCTGTCCATTTGCAGAAATCTGCGAATTCCTTTGGGTGCGTTATCAGCCATTTCTAATAGGCTCTCCCTTCTGGTTCGGGTTCTCCATTGTGTCCCAGTTTCTTCGTGGCCACCTAGACCGTTTTGTGAGGGCTCTGTTACAAAAAGCAAAGTGGGCTCGCGTTTTGATTCTCCCGCAAGAGCAGTTGTAGTGTTCTTCGTGCTTGAACCTCCTGTGGTACCAGGTAAAGTCTCCATGGCCAGTTCTAGATGCGATAAGCCTGTGGAGCGTTGGCCTGTCGAGCTTGAGCTCTTCTGGGCACTTGAGTATAGTTTTCTAAAGGCCGAGACTTTTGTATTTGTTGGTGATGTTCTCATCCCACCATTGCTGGTGTTCTCTTTGAATCCTTTCATTTAAAAGGCCTAAGACGCCCGCAAGCGTAGGTTTGGCCCCAATAGGGATTGGCAGGATAGTCCCTTCTTTTGCCTTTACGTCGGCCTCTTCGTTGCCTTGGATGTCCATGTGTCCTGGCACCCACCGGACCTGTACGTCGGCATACTCGTCTGAAATTTCGTGAAATTGAAGGAAAGCCTCTTGGGAGCTCCGAGCTGGTTCTCCCTGCAGTCCAGTGATCACTGCTGTATTATCCAGGCACACGTGGATGGGAGCGCCACTGCTGAGCCTCAGGGCCCGCTTGAGTGCGTGCCTGGCCCCTTCGGCCTCACCGTCAAAGACCTCTGCTGGGTGGCCCAGTCTGTCACAGCCCGAGGCTATGTTTGTCTGGCCTCTGTAGATCACGTATCCGTAGCCCACCGCCCCCTCCAGGGATTTCGAGCCATCAGAATAGGCGACTACGTGTGAAGGTAGTAGTGATTTCAGCTAGTCTGTGAAGACTTTGGCTTCTTCAGTTTTACTTCTTGTTATAACAGCTTTGTCAGTGTTCGTTGCATACCTTGGTTCCGTTAGGATTGGTCTTAGGAAATCTGGTGTGAGTTCATACGTCCTCTGGAGCCGTGTCCTTGCGGTTGTCCTGACCAGACCCCTCAGGCCTCTGGTCACGGTAGGGTTCCGGGCTGTAACACATCGGACTAGCGGATGCATGTTATCCATGGCTTTGATTCTCAGGCTGAACCGCATCCGGATCTTGCTAAGTATGGTTTGTACTGTTGGTAGGCCTGATTCTTTGAAGAGTACCTTTTTTGGTGTGGTTCTCCAGACCGGGAGAATCCCTCTGATAGCCTCTGTAAGAACTCTTTCGAGGTCGTCCGAGTGGCCGTTCTGGCGGGTGCTCATGTCGCGGGCCTGACCGTTTCCTGCTCTCTTGTAGTCCCCAGCCCCCCAGACCTCTGCCCCATAGGTCATGGTAGGAATCACGCATGCAGTTACCGCCTTACGGAGGACTGCTGCTGGGGGCCCTCTAGCAGTGTTTGCAAGACTTCAAATATGTCTGGCTATAATGAGGCCCTTGGCTGCCCGTCTTTTGACATGCTCCTGGAACTTCAGGGAACTGTCGAAGAAAATCCCCAGCCAGCGGACCACCGCCCCTTTCACTGGCTGCGCTGGTTTGATATTGAAGCCTCCGGGGGTGGTTATTTCTGGTGTGAGAGGTCTCCTCCCAGTATCAAAGTAGATGGCTTCAGCCTTGGAGTCTTTAAAGGTGACCTTGTTCTCTAGGCCCCAGCGTAGAATATCGTCTACCATGCTAGCTGCCTTGGCTGCTAGCTTAGTAATGGTTTTGCCCGTTATTCAGATGCCTACGTTGTCTGCATATCCGAATCTGTTATGCTTATCCTCTAAGAAGATATCTGCAATATACAGCAGGAAGAGGATCGGGGAAGCTGGTGATCCTTGTGGGAGCCCACAGCTCAGTCCGAATACCTTAGTAGTAACGCCTTCCAGTCTAATCCGAGCAGTTCTGTCCGATAAGAAGGAATCTACCCATTTTACAAGGGCTGGTGCCCAGCCCTGCTGGCGGAGCCTGAGGATCAATCTCCGGCGAAGTACTGCATCAAACACCCCTTGTACATCCAGGGTGACAAGAAGGGCTTTTTGCCCGGATTCCAGGGCTAACTCGATGTCGTGTGTGACTGCTGCAGTAAGGTCGACCGCAGAGCGCTTAGGGAGGGCCCCGATTTGGTTTGGGCTGATCACCCCTCTTAGTAGGGCTGTTGTTGCTATCCGTTTTGTAACTAGCCTTTTAAGGCCCTTTCCAAGGCATGATAACAGAGCAATCGGCCTGTATGATTTCGCGGTGGTATAGTCCTTTTTCCCCGGCTTCTTGAGCATGACTACCTCTACTGACTTGAAAGGGGTGGGATGGTGCCCTGTTCTAAGGCAGGCTTGAAATATAAGCCGAATCGGCTCTGCTAGGTGGACCCATGCCGCTTTGAGGAGCCGTGTTGAGAGAGAGTCTATTCCGGGGGCTGTATTTTCCGTGAGAATGATTTCAGCAAGTTCGGTTGGCGATATTGTAGAGTCCCATTCCAATGCAGCGCGGGGGGCGATAGGAATCTCTAACGGGTCGTGTGCGAAATCGTCTTCGGCCGAGTGCCTGTCTAGTAAGGCCGTCTTGAGGGCATATGCCTTTTCGGTAGTGTCCTCTACTATCAAGTTGCCTAGTGGTGGTGATTTTATGTCCGGACCTAGCTTATGCCAGTTGATTATCTTGAAGAGGTCTGAGTCTTTCTGTATGCCTTTGATACGGGCTTTCCAGTATTCTCTTTTTGTCTGTCGTACTACCGCCCGATACGCGCGTTTCTCTTCCGTAGGGGTGTTTATTCCGAATTGCTTCGTTGCCAGCTTGTATGTCCTTTTTGCTTTCCTGCACTCATCGTTCCACCAAGGAGCGTTTCGTCTCTTGCTGCTTGGCTTGTTGCTAACGGTTTCGAGGGCCAGTGTGATGAGGTTTATAATAGCAGAGGTAGCTTTGTCGAGTTCTTCTGTTGTGAGGTTGGAGCTGAGGCTTGGTAGCGGGGTTCCCATACGTTTTATCTCACAAACTCTGGTAGTTTGTCATCTGGTACTGTGTATCTCTGTTGAGCCACTTTTTGTCTCCCTTTGGATGGGATCGTGATTTGTAATGGCCAGTGGTCTGCGGCTGCGTGTATAGTGAGCTGTAGCGGCATTTCCCATCTACCTTGACCCACGGTTCTTGAATCAGGACCACGTCTATGTCCGCCTCGCAACAATTCTGCAGGAGAGCCGCGTGTGATTCGTGCATCTTCTGAACGTTTCCTTGAGCAATCCTGAAAGGACTGATCCTCTGTGTGCGGTGCCCCTGACCGCCTTGTCCCTGGTTAGGGACCCGGGGGAGCCTAGTCCCGGAGGTCTGAGTGGCACTCGAAGGCTGAGCTGACATTATTACCAGTATAATCGACTTGATTTTGCTAGCAGCGAGGTCTCCTCGCGGATCCTGTGCCCTGCTGTGATTCTTCTAGGAGAGGGGGTAGACTGGTCATCTCTGTATCCTCCTTATCTAGGTTGTCGGCTTCCTCTGGCCCCTCCTCTGCCGTGGATTCACCGTCTGTGAGGTTGATTTTGGGTGTACTCACA